TTCCCGCTGTGCCTGTCTTTTCTCCGCCAGCCGTGGTTATCAGCCTTTCCGCCAACGGTCAGGTGTGGCAGTGGGGCAGTTGTGGAGCCGTTCTCTCGAGCACAGTGCTGGATCTGGGGCTTCCAAAGAGAAAACAGTTGTGTTTTTTTTTCCCTGGTGTGACTGGAGATCACTACTGTGCACCTCTGAAAGTCCTACTTTCTCCTGGATTTGCAGTAAGTTTTCAGCTCAGCTCCTTGGTGACGTGTGATGCCTTCTTATGTTCCTAATATTCCTGAAACTAGAGATTTGTGTAGGCTTTTAGTGACAAAGGAGTAAATAGGTTGGTTGGTTTGTTTTTTTCTGTGAAAGTCCAGTCATAATTTTGATTAGGGTTTATACTATTCATTTTTCTAGTACCTCTGGAATAAGGTTTCTTTCCTTTCTGGGTCTCTCTTGAGTTCTGCATAAATTACTAAGTCCATAAGTGCCTGTATCCGTTTAGATAATTCCATGGATTTCTAATCCAATATTTATCTATTGTTACTAATGCAAAAGAAGTTCTATGGAAACTTTCATACTTGAGCATTTTAGCTGATGATGCATATACGTTCCTCCATTTAATATATACATATAAATATATATTTTAAAAAATATGTAAAATATATTTGCTTTATATATTTAAAAGAAGGACACGGGAGTCAACAAATGTAGATCAAAACTTAGAGGTTGGCAATGTTTAAATGTAAGAAGGGAATGATGTGTGGGGTTTTTCTTAAAACGCAAACCCACTATTTTGGAACTGTAAAGCAATAGGTAGTTTCATTTAAAAAATACAATTAAGGTGGCAAAAGAAGAAGTAATGTGCAAATCAAAGGGGGAAAATGGAGATTGGCAATCAATACAAGAGAGCAGCTGAAGAACTGAAACTTGGTGGGGAAACTAAGGGTGTAGGGAGGAACTCTCCAAGTGTAAGAACTTGAGCACTCTGCGTCATCTTACAGAGCCTGTGCTGCGTGGATTACCTGCTGGATCACTGTTGATGCTGCAACAACAAGATTTTGCACGGAGAATTCTTGTGTAGTGAGGCCCTGCAAGGATTTGCTATGTGCTGTTCCGTTGTCCGTTAGCTCTCTGTCCATGTGGAAGAGTGTTGCTTACAAAGTGATGACAATGGAGAACGATTAATCGGGAAGGATCCTTCCTGTAGGATGCTTTGGAGAGCTTGGGGGGTTCGTTTGAACACCGTGCATTTTAACACCAGTAAATTGAAGGAATTAAAAAAGAAAAGGTTCATCACTGTTCATAAACTGGGGGTTTTACTGCTTTTCAGGCTTCCTCTGAAGACACTTTGGAATGGGACTGGTGGGTCTCACATATACTGGGCAGAAAGGATTTCTCAGTACCACGGTGTAGCTGAGAGTGAGAAGAACCACGGGGTGCTTAAGCAGAGGAACACAAGTTTGTGGCAGTAGTGAGGCCCTTGAGGGAAAAACACTCAGTCCTGGCGCCTGTACTTCCCATCCTTTCCAACTGGTGGTAAACTGGGAGAGTTAGAAGAATGACGGTGAGGTCTGTGGATTGTAGTGGCGTATTTAATAAACTCGATCCGTTTGGTCATGGCCCTTAGCAAGTGTGTTCTCTGAGCAAATATGATCTGTGGTGCTTCAAAGGAAGGTTAATTACCAGACCCAGTGGCCAGAGTGACCCCGTAGCTGTGGGGCTCTCCACCATCCTGCGCAGAAATGGTGGGAAACGGCCAAGGGGCTTCAGTGACCACTGGGGTGGGAGGGAGGGGAGGGCCAGAGCTGACGTGGTAGCTCAGTCCGAACTGCCCGTGGCTGCTCCGTGGCCTTGAGGGCTTCTCCTGGCTGCGTGCAAGCCAGACTGCTCTAAGGCAGGATGGGGAACATGAGAGCGTCTGGAGGGTCGGTGTTCTTTCCAGCTGCGTCCTCCAGTCTTTCTCAGCTTCCCTGTTCGGGCAGGAGAAGGGACTCATCCAGGGACGCCGACATCACGGTGTCTCCGGGGTTGTCAGAGGGTGCAGGAGGAGAATCTGTCCATGGTTGCAACCTTCAGGGGGTGTGAGAAACAGCGTTGGCTGCGGGGGCACAGGTGTGTAGCTCGGCCGGCGCGTGTGGCGCTGCCGGACACAGTTCAGTGCTGCTTATGTTTGTTTTTTCATCAGTGCAACTTTCACAGTGTTCTTGTGGTGCCCCCAGGAGATGCCAGGGTCAGGCTGCTGGTGTAACCTTTGGCTTGTGCACGTGCTTCACGGTAAGCTGGTGACATGTGCACCCAGCCCCTTCTGTCCCGTACCCTCAGCTTCCTCCTGTGCCAAAAAAAGACAACTCTCGCTGATCTTGTTCACCACAGGACTCCCTTCTGTTCCAGCCCTTGTCTGAAGGCAAAGCTCTTCATCTTGGCAGCTATCTGACGGTGCCCATCTGCGTGTGTCATAACCAAAAGCAAAAGCACCTTGCGAGCAGGTTTCGGAGAGGGAGGGCAGGATGCTGTCCCTGCCTAGGCTGGGATTGAAGGTGTGTGAGGGCTCGGGACAAAGGACTTGGTGGAGCACCTTTGGGATACCTTTGGCTTCACCGTGACTTTGAGACTGCAAACCTGATTTTGATTTTTTTTTTTTCGGAGAACTCGGTGTTGTATCACTCTGTGTGGCTTGCTTTGAGTGCGTGGAAACGGGAAGCATGAACCAGTAACTGCAGGTGCAAAACCTGGCTGCTGAGATTGCCTGGGTGCATGTCCAAATTTTGTGGGAGAAAGTGGGTAGATGTTCAGCTGACATCACCTTCACTGCTCCCCTGATCCTCTGACTCGCTTGCCCACCTCGTTCAGCTTTTCCAGCAGACTTACAGAGAGGCCTCCCGTATTTTGCCTGTGGTGGCTCACACCTGAGCAGCTCCAGCCTTTGCTCTTGGAGAAACTGGAGTCTTATTGGAAAAACGGCTTCTGTGATGTCACCAAGCCCAGGGATTGGAGGTCAGAGCTGAGCATAAACCCTAAAATTCGCTAACCCCTCAGCTCTTAGTTTTGCAAACTTGCTGTTTTAATATAATCTTATGTGCTATCTGCATGAAATTAGCTCTTTGAATTCTGGGAAGAAAAGATTAGGAGTGAAGTTTTTAAACCAGAGGCAGAATGAATTGATATGTGAAGACTTGTAAATAACCAGATTTGCATTAGAAGGTGAAGAGGTTTTACTTTTCATCTACTCATAAACTCTTGTAACAATAGAAAGCAAAGATTTTTTCAGTGACGTTTTTAGCTGAGGAGCCCATAGCTCTGATCATAAGGGATGTACATCTCTAGTGTTGCATTTGTCTTTAATGAGCTATAAAAGTAGTAAAACTTGCTCTTATATAAAATACTGCTTCATATATAGTACTTTTATAATCCAGATATGTAAGTGCATAGATCTTACTTTAGTGAATCCAGCGCATTGTAACCTAAAATCTGGTGCCTTTGGTTTGTACCACAGACGTATTTCTCAACACCGCGTGTAAATCATGTCAGTGTTGAAGCTGAATTCAGCTGCAGGTGAAATTTGGTTAGATATTGTGATACGCTGTATGTGGCCAGAGTTCTCAGTTCAGATGTTTGCAGAGCTTTTGCAAACGAACCGTCGTCCTTTTGCTGGGCTGTCTCGCTGATCCCTTTGCTCAGGCAGCACCAGACGTGGCGCGGCGATGACAGACCCTGCGGTGCCAGGGGAAGGGGGTGGTGGGAGGCACAGGTGAGGACCAGGACCCACCTGAAATGCTTTGCACCCCCTGATCTTGTGAAGAAGGGACTTTCTCTGTGTAGGTCCTTGCAGGAGCCAGGCCGGTACAGTCCCAGTGACCGCTGTTAGAGAACAAAGTCCTGCTTGCCCTTGCTGCAGGAGCAGCACAAAGCCCATTTCTTCGGGCTTTGTAGAGCACCTTTCTGCTGCTCACAGATGCTCATGTCGTTGGGTAACACCAAACCCAGCCAAGGCTGGAGAACACTGCTCCAGTGACTTGAGCTCAGTGTTTGACAGAGGTGTTATGTCTGTTCCTCCCAGCTGGAAGCAGACATTCTGCACAGCCAAAGGCTTTTGTGAACTTTGGTTGTTCAGCTCAAAACCAGTGTCTTCTGCAAAGCAGATAGCTGGGTCTGCAGCTCCCTGCTAGTGCTTGTTCTTGATTAACTCACTGGCCAACTGGTTGATTCTGAAGGGTTCTTCTGCCCCAGCATTCAAATAGTGGTAGTGACCCCAGGGCTGTTGTTTAAGGCGAGCTTTTCAGACTGTTTAGCTCTTTTACCCTTCTGGCTATTCTCTTCCACCCCACCACCCATGCGTATTCCCCCCAACTTCCCCGCTTTATTTATAGCAGGGAGGGCAAGGCACCTTCCTCTCCCTCCACCCCCCAGTATCTTCTCTGTTATCAGCTGGTTTCTAAACTAAAAATCCCTTTTGAGAAAAGCAGGTGTGTAGGTTCACAGTCGTACCTGGGGTGCACTTTTCTTTTGGCCATAATGGAAACAAGCCTACTTGGGTGCTATCGTTCATCCAAAGTGAAGAGCCGATGACTTCTGAAGTGAATTCAAACTTTTCTCCCATGCAGTTCACTTCCCAGCGTTCATTCCAAGTTTTCGAAGTGATTCAACTGTCTTAGAGACAAGCAGTCATGTGGGTACTCGGCCACATTCTCATCACCTCAGCCATCCCAAAGAGATGGTACCAGTTCCTCTAGGAAGCTTCTGGAGCTGGTTTTGGTTGCATTTGTTAGTTTACCTTCAGCTGTTCCTTTCTGCAGCCCGCCTGGGTCAGCACCTTGCTCCCTCTGTGCCGGGGTTTCCTTGTAGCAAGCCCCCCTCCCCTCCTCATCCCCAAAGCCCTTGAAGCAACCACCATTTTTTGGTTCCATTTGTTCTATCACTGAGCTGTGATGTGTGTGAGCCCTGCTGGGCTGGCGCCAACTGGGCAGCAGGCACAAGGCAGAGGGCTTTCACGCTGTTTCACACCGATGTCTCTTTTCCAGGAGTTATCCAGCGCTGCACGGCTGTGAAGTACCACTACACCTCCAGCTCTCTGCCTCGCAACTTACCCGTCAACATCACCAACACCATCCGGCAGGACGAGTGGCACGCGCTCCGTAAGTAGCCCGAAGCGGCGACCAGGCTGTTCGGATGACCGCGTGCCATGCCAAGCGGGGGCTCTGGGTCCGCGCGCCGCCGCGAGGCTTTCAGCATCGATAGGTGTTTGTTGGTGAGGGAGGACACGCAGCTGACATGATAACTGGGAAGGGACGTGAGGTTTGGAGGGGCTGAAGCAGTGAGCTCAGGAGTTGAGGCATGTGTGTAGTGTGTCACAAGGTGTACCCATGTTGTGGCTCTGGGCACAGACCGTTCCTGCCTGGCTCCCAGCAAAGGTGCTGCCTCACCATAGAGGCTGGGCAGAGCTCGTTGCATTTTTCCGTGGGTGCACCAGTGACCAGGCGTGCTCCCCAGCAGCCAGCCCTTCTGTGGAACAGCTTCGTTTCTCTTTGCAACCTCCCATTGCCAGCTCCTGCCCCACAAGCTGCCTCATGCCCAGGTCCCTCCCACTGGGACTGATGTGTAGCCTGTCACTGAGAAAGATTTAATCTTTTTTTTTTTCTGCTCCTGCTTCTCCCTCTGTTTGTTTTCTTGTCCTGTGGCCTCACGTCATTCTGCGTAGCCCCTGTCATGTGAGCCTCAGTGACGAGGAACTCCAGCTGGAGGCTGAACTAGGAAGAGACAAGAACAGCACTTATATTATGGATGACAAAGTGCTGTTTATAGCACTGGAACCAAGCTTTTTTTTTAGCACGTCTTACTGGAGTTTTTCCCATCATACTGTATTGATCTGCTGTCTGCTTCTGTCCTCCCACTGTTCCTCTTCTCAGTTCACACTATCTGCCTTCCCTGCACTAGTCCTTCTCTTCAGCGTCCTCTCTCCCTTCTTTTATTTCTGTTTTCATAACCGACCCAGCAAACTCCATCCCAAAGAAACACACAAATAGCCCTTGCAGTACTAACGTTGACAAAACGTTGCCAAACTCATAATGCACCCCTTCTGGCCCATGTTGAGGAGTATTTGGCCAGTATTCCTCTTGAGCAGGACAGGAACACTCTCTAGTTGCAGAGTGCCCAGCAGGAGGGAGTCAAGTTAGCTGGATTCCCTTAGTTTCCGTGTGATGGGCAAACTATCTGCTTCAAAGAAGCTACAGGAGTCGTTGTCCATGGGTGAAATAAAAATTTAGAACCAGCAAATCTAAATCTGTATGGACTCTTCCTTGGCTGTCCTGTCTGGGTGCCACTGCCTTCATGTCTTCTTTCTTGCTGTTCTCCTTTCTCTTTCCTCAGACCTGCGGAGGATGACAGCGGGCTTCATTGGCATGGCAGTCTCCATCATCCTGTTTGGGTGGATCATCGGTGTGCTGGGCTGCTGCAAGCAGCAGGAGCTCATGCAGTACGTGGCTGGGCTGCTCTTCTTAATGGGAGGTGAGAGCCTTTCGCTTCTACCCCCGCGGTCAGTCTGGCTGGCTGAGGAGGTGCTTGTAAAAGTAAAAAGCGAGCCCACAGCCAGCACACAGAGCAGTTCTTTAGTGCAGCACGCCACCAGCACAGCGCAGGTGCCACCTCCAGCACGGGGCAGGACCCGTGCTGGCACGGGTGTTTGCACGTTTACGAGCAGGCCCCACTGGATGTACAGGAGCCTTCTGCTGTGGAGAGGTGGTGTGTCTCCACGGGGACCATGTGCACAGTGAGCACGGTCCACTTGCCTGCTCCAAGTGTGTGGAGCCTGCAGCTCCTGTCAGACAGCTCAGCTGAGGTTTCCCTCAGGAATTTTAACAAATAAACAAAAAAATCCATGCAGAGCACCTTTCTGCTGCTCACAGATGCTCATGTTGTTGGGTAACACCAAACCCAGCCAAGGCTGGAGAACACTGCCCCAGTGACATGAGCTCAGTGTCTGACAGAGGTGCTACATCTGTTCCTCCCAGCTGGAAGCAGACTTTCTGCACGGCCAAAGGCTTTTGTGAACTTTGGTTGTTCAGCTCAAAACCAGGCAGCTTTTTGTCTTTATTTGAAAGGGGCATAGGAGCAGCAAGTGCACCAGAAGGGTGAGCTACAGCAATGCTCCAGGGATGGGCCCTCTCAGATGACAAGCAGTAAATTGGCAACTTCCAAGTACGAAAAATAAGGCTCTACTTAAAAGCCAGAGCTGCTACCCTAGAGCATCTAGAATGGCTGCAAGCAAGAAACAGCAGCGACATCAATTAAACAAGCAGGTGTGACACTGGTTCGGTGCCATTTTTTGGGGGGGGAGGAAGCTTCCCTTGCCATAACTGAGCCATCTCAAGTGTTTTGTTTTTTTTTTTTTTGGGAGCTGCACAAAGACCACCTTGCTGACATGGCGTGATGCTAGAAAGGCTCGAAGTTAGGCCTGTGCTGCTCTTGAGCATCTTACATGTTGCTTAACTGCAGTTTCCTTTGGGAGCATTTTCAGTTCTTTATCATACAGCAGTGAGAGAGCAAAGTATCACAAGTGGCACAGGTAGACTGGGTCCTCTGTGAGGGCTTCTGCACTCCCCCATGCTGGGCAGGCTGGCAGCAGTAAGAGCTGCTGTTGGTATTTAGACACAGATCCAGAGCTGGAGAGAAGAAAACGCTCACCTCAACCTTCTGGTGTCTCTTAGACACACAGAGTGCTGTGCATTAGAAGCCGCTTCAGCGTTCTCGCTCCTCTCCGTAGGTGCTTAGTGAATGTGTAGCAGAGACACAACCCTGGGTACTTTCCGTGGGTGCAGGCTGCAGCTGGCAGAGTCTGGCCGTGCCTGGTAGAACCCAAGCAGGGCTGTACTTCCAGCCCTGGGCTTCAGCTGTTTCCCTTCCACAGGAGAGACTGACCAAATACTGGCTGGAACCTGCTGCCATTAGTCACTGGAAATAAATA